GGGGTATCCCTAGATATATGCCCATTAGCCTGGGACATAAAGAATCTTTGGTTACAATGCCAACATTCCAGAAAGAATACCATGTAATCATTATTAATTATTATAAACTAGGGTAGGGTCCCTAGGCCTGGCCAGCAATCAGGACAGGACAGGCCGGGGCCTTCCTTCCCCCAGCTGCCAGCTGCTGGCTGCTGGCTGGAGCCTTTGTTTCACGCTGCCTCCTGGTGGTCAGCACACATCATAGCAAGCGGTCAAACTCCCTGTCAGTGGAACTCCCTGGGGGCCAATTTGCATATTAGCCTTTTATTGTATAGGATTATCAAAGAATAGTTATCATCTCTCTATAGAAAAGGCTACTATGCTAAGTGTCCAACTGTCCAACCAGTCACTATGATGCACACTGACCACCAGGGGGCAGATGCTCAATGCAGGAGCTGCTGAGCTGCAGTGACTTGGCAGCAGCAGTTCTTGGGTGATGCACCCCAAAACCAGAGAGGAGGGAGCCAGATTGCTCGTGGGGCCATGCGATTTCACCTTCGGCCATGTGTTATGTTGTTGCTGGGGCACTGTTGGTCCTGAATCTGGTTTACTGCACACTTGCGTTTGCGTTCCATGCCCTGTACAACAGCAAACCTTGGGGGATGTTGGAGAGCCAATTTCAGCCCGATCCCCGCAGGCCAGGCCGAGGGACCCCACCTGCCAGAGGGACCCCACTCACTCCACAGATGCCATGGGGGGACCACGGGAGGTTGGCTCCAGGGCATGTCTGACCCCTTTCACCCAGTTGCGCCCCGCTGACCACCTTCTAATTGATGTCCTTTCAATGTGCATGAATCCATGCACCGGGTCACTAGTATAACATAAAAATCCATGACAGATACATTTTGAAAAAGAATGGAGACAGGACACATGTTATAAGGTTTGATCCAAAGAGGCTTGTCCTGGATGGATTTAGTCAGAAGATAAGTATAAGGCCAGGTTCTGCACTTCCCAACCATGTTTCCTTGGGACTATTGTCCTTAGAAGGCAAGTCTGGGGTCCCACAGCTAGATGCACTGGGCACTTAGGGAACAGTTTAGTAGCATTGAGCTGTAGGCAATTAAAAGAGAAGGTGCATAGGACCATCTGTATGGTTCAGTTGGTTGGACCAGCGTCCAGTACACCAAAAAGGTTATGGGTACAATCCCTGGTCAGGGTGCATACAGGAGGCAACCAATCAGTGTTTCTCTCTCTCTCTCTTTCTCTCTCTCTCTCTCTCTCTCATCAATGAACATATCCTCTGGTGAGGATTAAAGAAGGGGGAGGAGGAGGAGGAGGGAATGAAGGAGGAGAAGGAGAAGATGAAGCATAGAGAGGGAAGAAAATGCCTATGAATAGAGCTTGGAGACTCCATATTTATATTATCCAAATTTAAATGTGACCTGGACCAACATTGTGAGGCACAGTCCCCTCCCCCAACAAACAGCCCTTAAGAACCCAAAGCAGAGTGGCAGGTCTCAGGTGCCTTTGTGCACTAACAGCATAAGAAGTTGAATAAATGGCATCCTACAGTTATTCCAACCTGGCATAAGTGCAGACAGGGCCCTGCAATCTGGTAGGCAGCAACCACCAGCATTCTCTCTGCACTTTTAGGTACTTGGGTGGACAGACAGGTGTGGGGTGGGAAGGGTTAAACTACATGCCTTTAGGTAAAACCTGATGTAAGAATCTAAGCTCAAAATGCGTGATGTCTCAGAAGTTCCCAATTTAGTTCCACTCTCTATTCACCTTCCCTGTTCCCTCCCCTCTCCTCCTGGGTCTGCTACTGTTATTCTGCAGAAATTGTTGACATGGGCTGAATAATACATGTAAAAAGAATAATATTTTGCTTTCTTCCTTCTGTTATTAAAGCAGTAGAAACTGCCACAGAAGAAAAGACTAAAAAGCAATAACCCTTAGCACAGTCCATGTCTGAAAGCTTTAAAAAGTAATAGTCTCACCTCCACCCATAGATTCTCAAGTTCTGAGGTAGCACCCAGAGGGCAGTCAGCTTCTGATAGTGTTTTTTATTTTTAACCTTTATTGTTGAAAGTATTACATATGCCCCCTTTTTACTCCATTGATCCCTTCTAGCCCGTCCACACCCCTCACCCCAGGCCTTTACCACCCTATTGTCTGTGGCTTATGGGTTATGTATATATATATATATATTTGCATACAAGTTCTTTAGTTGATCTCTTCCTACCCATCCTAGATATTGTTAAAGGACCCTCTGCATCAAGATCGGGGGGTTATAACACATTAAAGAAACCACAGCCCCAAGAGGTAGCTGTGGGATGTATGATGGAAGCTTGGTTGGTAGGGAGAGCAGGATCAGGAACTTGTTTCAAATCCCTTCTCTGCTGCCTCTTTCTCATCAGAAATGTTCCTTCATTTTTTCCCCCTCTGCTTTCTAATTCCCATTCCTAGCCAGGCAATCACACACATATACTGCTGTCTCCTGAGATCACTGTGGAAACTCGGCCACAAAGGTGATCTGTTCCTACTCTCATCTTACAGATTTCAAAACCGAGGCCCAGAGAGGAGACGTGACTCAGATCATCTAACTGGCTAGCCCCTGAAGCAAGCCCCTTTGGACACCTAACCCAAAATCTTTTCATCTACTGTCTCTCATCATTCAGCTGAGCTAATAAACTCCTTTCAGACACCAGTAAAGCAGCAGTGTTTTGAAATTACCTTCAAAATAGCCTCCCACAAGTCTTCAAAGGGAAGCAAGATTTTGCTCTTAAACCTTCCTTAGTTTCCTATGTTCCAAACTGTTTACATTGGTTACTTGGCAGCCACCTCTTTAGAATTCCATGAGTCTACTCACAGAACCTGGGGGTTCAATCAGGGGTATTTTCAATTATTTATTAAACTTCCTTCTTTGTGAGCTGAGCTTTTGGAAATTGCATTGATTGGTGACAAAATGGACTTCTTGGCCATTCTTTGAAAAATAAATCTTTAGCCCTAGCCAGTTTGGCTCAGTGGAAAGAGCAACAGCCTGTGAAGTGGAGGGTCCTGGATTCAATTCTGGTCAGGGGCATGTACCGCGTTTGCAGGCTAGTCCTGGCCCTGGTCGGGACACGTGCAGAAGCAATCAATCTATGTGCCTCTCACATCAATATTTCTGTGACTCTCCCTCTCCCTTCCATTCTCTCTAAAATTCAATAAAAACATATTTTTTTAAAAAAAGCTAAGGTGAAAGGAAGGAAGGAAGGAAGGAAAACCTTTAGGTCTGTGCAGCTCAATATTTTCCCCCACAGGAGTTCTTAAGTCCTACAGAGTCTTGGCAGAGCAGGGAACACATGAACCCAGCTCTGGCATGCTTCATTCTTTGGGGCCTTTTCCATTCTCCTTTCATCTCTGTCCCTACTTAATCTGCTTCCTTCACACAGTTCAATTCCACCTCCCCTACTCCCCAGATCCTGGCTAGATTATCAACAAATTCTACTCTTTTTATAGGGGGACTCTTCATATCATGTTTTGTTTTGTTTTTTAATCCTCACCAGGGGATTTTTTTTCTCCATTGATTTCTAGAGAGAGTGGAAGGGAAGGAGAGGGAGGGAGGGGGAGAGAGGAGGTGGGGAGAGACATGGACTTGAGAGAGAGACACATTGATTGGTTGCCTCCTGCACACACCCTTACTGAGGCTGCAGAACCTGCAACAAAGATACATGACCTTGAACAGAAATTGAACCCAAGATCATTGGCAGTCCGATGCTCTATCCACTGAGCCAAACCGGCTAGCGCCATATCCTGTATTTTTAATAGTAAAATTTCAGGCTTACAGGTTACTGGTTTTCAGAAGTCCTTTGTGAAAATAACCATCTGTCTTGACAGCAGGGAAGATTTCTGGGCATAAAGTTCTGTCTTTTCTTTTTTTGCCAAAGTTTTTATTGTCAGTAATAGCTGTAAACTTTATACAATAATCTATTTTATTAAGTTTATTGGTGTAACATTGGCTAATAAGTTTCAAGTGTATAATTCTATAATGCATCATCCATATATCGCATTGTGTGCTCACCACCCAAAGTCAAGTCTCTTTCCATCACCATATATTTGACTCCTTTACCCTCCTCAACCTAGGTTCTGTCTTTCTAGCTGACCTGGGACCATGCTGTTCTGGCCATCTTGTCCTGATCAACCTGACCACTGATTTTAGTACCTTAGCTCAGACCCTGGGACCTTTACAAAAGGGTTAGAGGGCATGTTCTTTGAAATGAAGAGACTAAAAGAGTTTTTAAAAAGTTAAATATTAAAATCTTGGCTAAGGTTCCTAAAATTACACAGAATTACCACATGATCCAGCAATTCCACTCTGGGTATATACCCAAAAGAATTAAAAGCAGGGCTAATAGATATTTGTATACCCATGTTCATAGCAGCATATTCCCAATAGTCAAGAGGCATCCAACAATGGATGAGTGGAAAACAAAATGTGACATATATATAAGAGAATATTACTCAGCCTTAAAAAGGAATGAAATTCTTATATATGCTACACACATGGACAAACCTGGAAGTCATGCTAAGTGAAACAAAGCCAGACACAAAAGGACAAATACTGAATGACTCCACTTATATGAGGTACCTAGAATAGTTAAATTTATAGATAGATAGTGGATTTACATGGGTTGGCAGGAGGGAGTGGGGAGGAATGGGGAGTTATCGTTTAATGGGTACAGAGTTTGTTTGGATGATGAAATAGTTTGGGAGACGGATAGTGGTGATGGCTGCACAACAATGTAAATGTACTTAATTAACTATACATTTTAAAGTGGCAAACTTTGTGTATCAGCACATTTTTTTAAAAAACCCTATCTATATATATAAAAGCCTAAGTGACCAGACAACCTAATGACTGAACAACCAGTCAGCCAGTTGCTATGACACACACTGACCAGCAGGGGGCAGACGCTTAATGAAGGAGCTGCCCCCTGGTGGTGAGTGCACTCCCACAGAGGGTTCTATTCTCTGTCTCACGTGGATAATTCTGTCTCTCCCCCTCCCTTCCACTCTCTCTAAAAATAAATGGGAAAATATCCTCCAGGGAGGGTTAACAACAAAAAAGTAGGCTACTGATTGGCAGGGCCAGTTTCAATTTAGCAGGCTGCCCTGGCCTATTGGGCGCTTAGCCTGCAGATGGGCGGCCTGCCATTAGAGGCTCCCAAACACCAGTTCTAACTTTCTCCAGATCCCCATTCAGTCGATCCGAGGTCTGAAATTAAGTTGCAAAAAGATGGCCTCATCTCTTGCTGTCCTGCGAGCGTCTGGACACTGCGGACGGGGCCTGGGAAGTTGGGCACGGCCCAGAACTCCAAAGTTGAGCGCTAAAGTGCCAGTCTCTTGGGCCCCTGCCAGGATGGCGGCGACCGTGACCTTGGAGCCCGCGGGCCGCAGCCGCTGGGACGAGCCT